ATTTTAACTAACTAGTTATCTGCAACTTTTTTTACTTTGCTGTTCGACGTCAAGTTCGCGAACTCTCAACTAACTAACTAGTTGACACGTCTTAACTTCTTACTTACCGCGCATCAACTGGTGACTGACGCCGCTGCGGCCGTGACAGCAGACGAATATACGGATTCCCAGTCCAGCAGAGACCCTGCGATGCCGTGAGCCATGAGATTCTAACCCGACCGACCACCATGGGCCGCAGTTGACCGTCTCTCTCACGCAGCACACATACAGCGTCATGCAAGCCGGCAGCGCAGCTCAACGACCAAACAGCTCCAATTCCTTCTATTCCTCTCCTTCTGCTGCTCTATTGCTCTACTAGCCAGTCCTCTGTCGCCGGCCTTCTCCCGGAGGGCGTGTAAAGGATGTCTAATGGATCCGGGTCTGATGCGCTGAAGAGTTCCACCACCACCAGTAAGGCCGGCCGGGACACCAAACACACATCCCATCCCCATCGTCTGCAGGTGTAAGCATGGACTAACTTGATGTGCGGACGCAAGCAGCTACCAAACCGGTCTTCCATTTCGCCGCCGGCCTCTTCTCAGGTCTCACATCTTCCATCCTCCTGCAGCCGGCGGACCTGCTCAAAACCCGGGTTCAGCAGTCCGGCCAGCCAACCTCTCTCCTGCCCACCGTCCGCGCAATTCTAGCCTCGCCCAATCCCATCCGGAACCTATGGCGTGGAACACTCCCGTCAGCCCTCAGAACCGGGTTCGGATCGGCCCTCTACTTCAGCTCTCTTAATACACTACGGCAGTCGGTGGCCATAGTCAAGCTACATACCAAGGGAGACAATGGCAGCAGTACCACTAATTCTTCTTCTTCCTCGCCGCGGACTTCGGCCCTGCCTAAGCTGTCACACTCAGCAAACCTGCTGACTGGAGCCGTGGCGCGAGTATCGGCTGGGTTCATCATGATGCCTGTCACCGTGCTGAAGGTGCGGTACGAGTCCGATTACTACTCGTATCGGAGCCTCTGGGGGGCTGGTAAGGACATTGTTCGGACAGAGGGCGTCAGAGGATTGTTTTCCGGGTTTGGAGCAACTGCCATTCGCGATGCGCCGTACGCCGGCCTCTATGTCGTGTTCTACGAACAGTCCAAGCGGTCCCTGTCCGCCCTTCTATCGTCCCCATCTCGAAGTAGCAAAGGTGAGCTGGAAAAGGAAGCCGTCTCGTCGATGCCGTCCGCAGCTTATGTTCACTTCCTCTCTGGCGCACTTGCGGCAGGCTTGGCGACAACTATCACCAACCCGTTTGATGTGCTCAAAACTCGCGTGCAGCTGATGCCCTCCAAGTACCGCAACATGTGGCATGCTGCAAGGCTGGTTTTACGTGGTGAGGGCGTCAGGAGCCTATTTGGCGGGCTGAGCTTGCGTATTGGGCGGAAAGCCATTAGCTCTGCCTTAGCCTGGACGATCTACGAGGACCTGATATTGCGTGCTGAGACCTCCCGGTGGGCCCAGCAGGAGAAGAGCATGCTAACTTGATTCAGACCTCCTTCTCTCCTCTACTCAATCTGTATCATTACTATCATTATCATTATTTATTATTATTATTATTATTATTATTATTATTATTATTATCTGCTACTTCGTCTCCCCTTCTTTTCTGCTACAGTGTCATTGAATCCCAGATGTATGGTGTTCTGGTATTGATTTCAGGCGCGCAACGTACTCCGTACATGTATGCATTGTTGGGTTAGCTAAAAACAGGCGGCCATGAAACGTTAATATCCCAGCTCATATCAAGAACTATTTTCAATATGTGAAAGTAGATAAGTATCAACAATATTACAAACCATCTAGGTTTCTAGACATTAGAATTAAAAGGGGAGGAACCAGCAGGGTATAACTTGAGTCGTCCATTAAACGCCAACGCACACTGCGTAGCCAAGCCAAAGGCTTGCACAGCTCGTGCCAACCGCCGGGTTCCATTTATACAGGTTATCCAACGAAATACCGTTGACCGCGGCGATGTCGTAGCAGGTATCGCCGCTAACTACAGTGTGCCACTTCTGACAGTTTGAGGCCACGCCTGGCTGCGTGGGTGCGGGCGGAGGAGTCCCTGGACTGGTGGGAGTGGCCGTCGGGCTTGTGGTCGAAGTGCCCGTGGGTACCTGGACAGGGGTGGTTCGGTACCAGTTTGCTCGGGGATCCCCCAAGCATTCTCCAACAGTGACAGCTAATACCAAGAATGTTAGCCTGTTGGATCCAAAATGTGATGGGATAAATAGAAGGTTAGAAATAATAACTGGATATAAATATACCTTTCAGGCCTCTCCGTTTCAACTCGTCCAGGAGTTGCTGGATCAGGAGATCAACAGTAGTTTGATGTACGTCATGAGCCAGCGCAATGCTACCACCTGCGTTTAGACCATCCCTAAAAAAACCAACGCTGACACTAACGCCGTCAGGAGTATCATGCTCATAATCCTTGGTGTCAATATCAGCTTCGATAACATGATACTTAAGGTCGGCCATAGTCTGCAAGACCAAGGGGCTATATGCAAAGTAAGGCACGCGCATATAAGTCGGGCGGTATCCATTAGTAATAGTAGCCAGAACGTCATCGAGCTTTGTCATTTCAGATATGATGCCGGCGCTATTAAGGGTGGATAGATCGGCGTGGTCGTAGCTATAACTTGGTTAGTAGTTTGTACAAACCGGCAATTGGACTAAAAATCACTCACGTATGGGAAGCAATCTGATGGCCGGTGTTAAAGGCTCGGAGCATCACGGAGCTATAGTCTGTAATAGACCCAAAGTTCTGAGCATTAACAAAGAGTGTTGCCTTGGCCCCATTTGCGTCAAAGATATCCAATAGCTTGTTGGTATAGTCATAGGGACCGTCGTCAAAAGTGATTGCAACAGTGCCCTTCACAGTGCAGCTCCGGATGACTTGACCAAACGGTACAACAGTAGTGGGGGTAGACGGGGCGGCAGCGGAGGTGGAGGTGAAGGCAGAGGTAGAAGAGGATGTGGTGGAGGTTGAGGCTGAGGAGGCAGTAGCAGTAGCAGTCGATGAGATAGCAGGTTGGGCTGTTGAAGTTGCTGGCTGGGGAGTTGGAGTAACTGGCTTTGACGACGTAGTTGTAGGCTTTGTCGTAGTGGTTGCTAGTCCGGTCGTCGATGTCGCGGGTGTAGTTGTTGTAGTCGCAGCCCTAGTGGACGGCCTGGGAAAGGGAAACCACCAGTCCGGGATCCATGACTTTCCCACAAGCTGCAGTAATTCGGGATGCAATGGTCCGGCTGCAGCGCAACAGGCAAGCAGTGCGGCAACGAAGAACGTGTATAACCGCATTAACATGATGAAGGATGTAAAATAGGGAGAAAATTTTATATAGATATAAAATATAACAAAAGAACACCCAGATGAAAGGAAAGGTAGCAGGAATATGAAACGGACGTTAAAAAAGAGTGTCTGGTATAATCATCTAAACGAGTGACAGTTAACAGCGGGCTGATGGACTGAAGCAGGGTCAATGAGCATAGTATAGTAGTCCGAGAGTGCCATTCTTTCTTTATATATTAATATTCAGATCCTTGCCCTTGACAAGACCGGACTATCAAGGGAAAAGTTGAGAAACCAAATTGTTCTCGTACTCGGCAAGAGGCGAGCGGGTCTTCCAATCAGTCAGTCAGCGAGATGCCAGGGGTAGAGGCAGTTGTTGGAAGTAGCCGGACTGCCCCAAAATATGGAGATAAAATTGTGCACGTTCCCACCCATTCTGACCCAGAAGATCTAGATGGGAAAGTGGGCTGGAAGGCTCTGTATCAAAATTCTTGCTTGCATGCAGGGGACGGATCCAATGACGGATCTGGCAGACTTCCAAGGGTGTTGCATATATGACTGGTCCCGGCATATACTGGCCAAACAGATACTGCATATGTGTCTCTTCCCTATGAGAATAGCCATGTTTCTTCGTTTTCATAGAGAGACAGGCATTAAGTAAGTACCCGTCCAACTTTTGATGTATTTTTGAGTTGGTCAGGTTACGGCGTGGAACATGTCTCAACGATGGTGTGCTCCAAATTGACCATCGTCTCATCCTTCGCTACACTGAAGAAAAATAGCTTCAGAGAGAAGATATCTTGACCAGCGTTTTCTGCGCGCATGGGAGAAAGTTCGCCGTCCAGGGGTATCCAAGGAAAACCACCAATGAAAAGGGCGCCTTGAAGCCATTCTTCGCTTGACATGTGGGTGGTCCATGATCGATCGTCTAATCCGATCCCAGATACCGAGGTGGCGACGGATCACATACATTCCAGGCACAAATCTAGATACCATTAGCGCCTCCAGGGCTCTCCGCACTCTGACTATATCCCAAAAACGTCAGCTGTAGCCGCAATAATTGGCCTCCGTTGGCGGCGCTGTATATCCGTTTGTGCGGTGTGAACTTATCTCTGTAGAATAAACCTCTGGTGAGAAAAAAAAAACCTCGCTAAGACGTTTCATGATGGTCCCTTAACAGATAAATTTGATGTCGCAAGTGAACTCCGGAGGCTTGCATGGTGGCGTGAAGCCAGCGCTGCAAGGCGAATCACCAACTCCTCCCGAGCTGAACGGCAATTATCCCTTCGACAATGGAAGATATGCTCTGGGAGAAGCCGTGTGACTATCCGCGGAATCACCGGTTGCTAATATAAATTAATATGTTGGACCCAGCTTGTCGGATCGGACACTTCTCGATTCGTGCACATCTTGTGTACCATGTTGAATCGGTTAGTCACCGAAATGTACTGGGACTGATTCGGGCTAGCAGGGGTGAATACGGGATTAATCGAAGACGGTGGTTTGACCGAGTCATCGTTTGTTCGTTTTGTCCATCGATTCCTCTTCGTGATGATAAGCGGACGATGGAGTTAATTAAAGTGTTTTATGTGGCTAAAATTAGACTTTAAGTTTACTGGCCAGACTTTGCTAACTAATTTATTTAGTTACCATTGGTTTAAACAGCGTTAGTCTAACTATAAAAACGATATTTTATTTGTTTGATTTTGTTCGATTGTTTGATTTTGTTCGAGGAGTTTAAGCGAACCATGACTGGCCAGTTAAACACAGCTATATTAAACACAAATAGCCAATGATAATTAAATACCGTTTGTGCTCGTTGTGAGAATCTTGGAATAGAGGTCAGTTCAATATACTCTATGTACTTTTCTGTTGATCTGTAAACATGAGATTATATTGTAAGAGTCATAATCATTCAAATGAAAGACAAATAGAAGAAAGTGTCCACATTAATCGGACAATAAACATATAGAAGATAGAAGGGAAGTGAATAGAATATGAAATAGACGTAAACCCATACAAAGAAAATATAAAGAAACCCATATACCACCAATCCGTCTACCAAAATAGGCTCCTCCGGTCCTGTTTCTTCCTAACAAGGTATAAGCCATCTCTCTTCTTGTCATTGACCTTCATTTCAACGGTTACAGGACCGTTGTGAGGAGAAGCAGTCAGAGTACGCTGTCCACGTAATTTGCGGGTATGGTCAAAGAGTCTGTCCTGCTCCTCTTGACTGAGAGAATGGTAGATAAGCATATAATCTGCATCGTTCTATAATTCAGTCATACTAGTTAGCGAGGAATTCTTAGGTTCTCACACAGTAATCGGTAGAGACAACACTTACAGGATCAAATTCCCAAATCAGACTAAAAGCATCAAGAGTTCGAGGTTCGAGATAGCGGCGATGAACCTAAAAGGCAGAAGTCATTAGTTGGACCAGTGTTTCAAATACAATTATCTACAAAGCTTAGGGTAACAATATAAGCCAGATAGCTAGAACATACCTTAACAAATGCCTCTTCGTCTTCTATTTGCCTGTGCTTTCCGTGGTGGACATGTTTTTCAACATGGACAAGCTCCATTTCCTTGAGTGACTTGCCTTGCATGATGGCAGTAATCTTGTCCTCGGAGAAACCAGCACTGCCTAACAACTGGTTTACCTTGTCGTTGAACTCCTTCTTGGCCTTCTCTGCTTCTTCTTTTTGCTTCGCCAACCTTTCAGCCTCCTTCTTCTTGTACTCCTCAATGGCACTGGCTTTTAGTTTGGCCTCCTTCTGCAATCGCTCCATTTCGTCCTTCTCCTTCTGGGCAATTTCAGCCTGTACTTTCTCTCGAATTTTCCTCTCGCGCTCCTTTTCCTCACGCTCCTTTTCCAGGGCTTTCATTCGCTCAATGAGGAGAGCATCTTCCATTTTTCGCCTGGCAAGCTCATCACTTTCCATTTTCTTGAGCCTTTCAAATTGTATCTCTTTTTCAATATCTCGTCGGGTCAAGGGGTGATCATCACGCTCAGGCCGTTTCTCTAACCGTCCCATCTCTTGCATCTCCATATATTCCTGCAATTTCCGCCATCGCCTTAGACTCCGAATTTCCTCTTCTTTGGCAATACGAATCTCTCGTTCCAGTTCGGTCTCTTGTCGAGGCTGTGGCTGAGTCTGTGGCTGAGGCTGAGCAGAAGCGTTTCCACTGCCCTTGCTCGCCTCAATGCGTTCACGTTCCTCGCGACGGATGCGGTCTTCACGACGCATGCGATCCTCTTCCTTTCTCATCTCATCTAGTTCCCGTTCTCGCTGTCTGATTCTCTCCAGGCGAATCTCAGCTTCGATTTCGGCTCTTCGAGATGGTTCTTCACGTTCCAGGCGGCGAATAGCCCTGCGCTCATGACGAATAATGTCATCCTCTAGGTCACTCAGTGCATCGGCCAATACAGGCCGTCGCTGGGAAGCAGATCTTGCCCGACCGACTGGCACCTGTGGGGGGGCTAGCTTAGTGTTTTCTTGCAGGTCATTCTTGATATCAATGTATATCTGAGCATCGCCCCCACGGTATGGGTTGGCGACAGATGCAGAACGCGGCCGCCTTTTCTCTTCAACGACAACCTTTTCACGGGGTCGACGGTGGATACGGTGATAGAACTCCTCTTCCGAATCGGTATCCGAGTCTGCGTGGCGGTAGTATTTCCGATACATGACTCTCGAGTTTGCACGAGTTTAGTAAAAAGGTATATATGGTGACGCTGGCGTTGTTAGCCAAATGGCCGTGCTGCACTGGGCTCCAACGCAGCTTCGTAGGCGTTATGTTGCCTGGATAAGAAACGTTCCCTTGGTTTCGTTTGCGGATGGCGTACGCAACTCGAGGGAGGGAACAAGAAGTTCTGGTACTTCCGGTAACAGTGATGTTTGACCCAGATTATTTAAGGATAAACTGACGATAAGTCAGGAGCGAGGAGCTCTCGATATTCGATGGTTGGATGAGAAAAGGTGGTTGGGAAGCCTGTGGAAGAGTGTCGTGACGTTGAAATAAATACGTCCGGCTCGGAAAAGGTGGGCGCCAGAGCCGCAAGCGAGAATGAGGGGCTCCTCTGATAGGGCAGCAATCAAGGAGTCTGTTGGCGCCTGGGGACAGCGCAAGGCTCCAGCTTCAGGTTTCAGGACGGCGTTGAGCGTTCTCAAGGCTCAAAGCTCAGTGGTTTTCCTCGTCTTGTCGATGCCGCCGAGATATGTACGCAGGCGTTGGGACTCCCTGGCGGAGGGGAGTAGAATCAGGTTTTGTCATGCGACGGCATGCACCCTTGTCACGCCTATGGATGTTGTGTCTGCCCAGCAGGGCGGCTAGTAAAACACCGCGGCCCCGTCACGGGAGAAAGGGAAGCCCAAGTATGGGGCATGTATGGGGCACGAAGCAGTGTCAGTCAGCCACCCAGCCACCCAGCCATCCGGACGTTGGGCATGCACGTCTGAAAGCCGACAGACAGGCAGTCGGCGGTCGTTTCTCGAACATTGTTACTCACTCACTGGCTGAATCATGCCGGCCTTGCGTTTGCCTGTATTCCCCTTTGCAGTGACTCTCTTATATACTCAAAACATGCATAGGATGCTTCATACTCCGTACCCACGAATAGACTCAAGTTTAAAACCACCGATCAATTACAGGATGGTTCCATGGTTCCCTAAAAAGGCTAACAGCACTCTAAATCATTTGGCCGGACAGCTGCATCATGTCGAGTATTGTTTTCAATGGAGAGAGCGCTTTTAGTCGTATTATGAATGGGACAAATAACCCTGCAAATTCTGTAGCTTGGCGTATCGTCTTGATACTGTGCAGTGTCTCCATAGCTCTGGCTGAAGTGCTGCTTCGTCCGCTCGTCTGCCTTTGATGTTGAGTTCCCAGTTGAAGGAATACAGCCAACTACTAGTATGAAGCTTTCTCGCGTAAACCAGCTTGTTGCCATATACTTGTCATGAACCATTTGTTCCGCATGAAATATCATGGTGGCTTTTCACCCATTATTGCAGTAGTCAGGCCGCAGCGACCAAGGTAGAGAGGCCCACCCTTTACCGATGGCCGTGCCTGAATAACTGTCCAAGAATAAAGACGCTTGAATCCATACTATGACCTTCCGCCACTCCGCAGCATCTGTTCTATATGTTCGCGACTGTTTTTATGCGTCGTCTCCAAGTAGTGTAGCCTCTTTTCGAGAGTTGTAATCTCTGTTTTTAATTCTTTCGTCTCCTTTGACAGTCTTGTGTTCACCTTATCTATCGGCGTGGCAACGAACCTGCGAGATGCAACACACAAAGGGGTTAGACTCCAGTTATTTTAAAGAAGTCATTTGTTCCATCCAGAAATCTTGTGGTTATACGCACATTTTGCCTACGCCTTCATATACGTTCGTGTCCTTTGGGACTTGGCCAATCTCCCCGGAAGTAAGCTCTAATAGACGCATTTCCCGCTGCTTCGCAGTTATCTGAGTCCTGACGACGTTGATCTGTTGCTGAGCAGCAACAGCCTGTGATTCGATCTCCTGTACAAGCTATTTCGTAGAAAACGGCCATACAGTTAGTTAGTGTTCTTTACTTCGCTTGGTGCAAAACGAGGGGTGAGCCATCTTTCCTTCCTTCCTTACCTTCTGGAGAGCTTCATTTGGAATGGACATCGTCGTTGCGTCAGCTGATGACAGCCTGACTAGGAAGTTAGAGACTGTAACTTGACCGTAAGTGCGATGGAGACAGAATAAAACCGTGAGAGCTGCTCGCTTTTGCTCCAAAAGTTAGCGTTGATGCTTCGAAGTTCGTTTGCGCAAGGATCTCACGTGATAGTTACCTAATGTGGCTAATTCCAGCCGAACTTAAGTGAGTGGCTGATATTGGGATTGATTATGTAATTAACTGCTACTTCTATATCT